CGATGCCTGAAAACACAGACTAGCCCTGTACCGGGCCTAACAGATGCTATAGAATACATGATCACTGCAGGGCTAAGTCTAACACCTTCTCTTTCCTACTGTAGACCTCTAATTTAGAGCAGGCATAGCATACAGGACTTGCTGATTCTACACAGATTACGCCAGACTTGCTCTCACCCTTTGGCCTGAGGACTTTTTCAGAGATGGTGCCTTCACTTACCTCTCACCAGGCCTTGAGGACTGTAATCATGCATATTGCCAGAGTTCTGACAGTCCCCATGGCAAGACCCCTGAGCACCTCTGCTGGCACAAACTACAGAACTGAGTGCTGAAATGAGGTATGCTTGATCTCAGAAGATAGATGTTTTCCACCTGCTCAGCTACACCAAACACAGTGAATGCAGCTGGAGTGCTGGCAGATAAATGCAGATTCAAATCTTGAGTACACCTTTATGTAGTCCTTCATGTCTACTAATGGAACCAACTGTACTGAACCATTCCCAGTGACTATTGTTAGCTACAGGGCACAGAACTAAGGTTGCATTGCAGGTGCAGTGTAGTGTGCTACTTAATTCTCCGAAAACCAGGAAATAAGTTTAGTCAATCTCCCAGTTCTGGAAATGTTTGGGCAACCTTAAGGTCTTAGTTTTTAGACATTTAGTATCATTGTTAAGTTGGCTACTTTGCACATATTTGTACTTAAATCATATTTTAATTCGGAGATGTTCAACAGCAACATTATCTGTCTTCCATATTTGAGTAATCAGTTTTCATGTTACATTAACAAAACCTGCCATCTTAAATTAACTCTTTAAAAAATGTAGGGAAGGAAATCCCTTCACCACCACACACTAGCCAAAACCGTTTCAGGCTTAGCTCCCTTCCCCTTCCTCTATCACATAGACAATGTTAACCTTTACATAGCTAAACATGCAAGTATTTAATACTCATCTTGCATTGTAGCAGCATCTAGATACCTCAATCAGAATTGTGGCCTCACTGTGCTAGGTGATGTATGAACACATTATTATGGTAAGGATTGTCTTAGGCAGTGGTTCACAACTTTTTCCAGTAAGGAAGCCCAGGGTCATTTCCCAACTACCTGGCAAGTGGAATCCCCCTCTTGTTTCAATACAAGAAGGGCACAGTGGTTGTGACCTGTGACACCTATGTGTGAACCCTTCTGTAGCATCGCAACATCCAGATTGAGACTCCTTGGCCTAAAAAAAAAACTTTGCGGTGGGCTTGAAGGCTAAGTCATAGTGTGGCTACTTGAATGTGTGATTAGTGGAGCGACAGCATGCGTGCTACAATCTGCAAAGCTAGAAGTAGCTGGCCTCTGGAGGAATTCCTACTCCTACCTCCTAATGTGGTATTGGAAAGGGCCCGGCAGATCTGGAGATACTATCTTAGTGAAGGAGGGGTGTAAGCTTTGCAATGTTCTGACGTGGATGTTCTTACATGCTCTCCTCCCTGGCTGCAGTTCTTCTATTACTCTCAAGGGAACACGTACCATGGGAAGGACACACCATTTAAGAACAGAATCAGTTGGGCTGGAGATC